AACATAATTATGTATAAGTACAATTAATTACACATTAATCAAAACAAGATATATTACTTTACAAACGTTCATGTATTTGTAATTATCAATCAAAGTTACGTAAGTCTAATTAAAGTACAAATTTACACATAATACTACTTGATTTGCGTCACACATCTTAGTCACACCTAATTCTCCTCTAAATGGAACCTAATATTAGCTAGTCTAAGAAACAAGTGAATATAGCTAGTTCTACTCGTACTCTAACTATCTACTTTGCATCTAGCAAAATTAAAACAGGTATACCTAGGTATTGGTAAGTATGATATCATCAATCTAATCGAGTGAAGGCATGAACAGAGTAAAGTTAAAAAACCAGTCGCAAGAAACAGACCAAAGATTTGAAAACAGTTACAGAAAACATAGCAAAGTTAAAAAAACCAGTTGCAACTAACAGAGCCTCAAACCAGTCAGTCAGTTACATTTGGTAGGACAATTCAGTTTTCCTTTCTATCCACATCATTTATTATTCATATAATTTTAATTACATTAGTTTTAACCTCCAATAAGTCCCGGAATGAATGGTATTCCAATTGAAGGTAACCAATCACCAGCATTGATGAAGTTTTTAGCAGTAAATTGTAGGATTTGGGTAGAGTTGGTTGTAATTTGTAAACCTGGCCATTTTACCCGGCCACTGGTTGCAGCTCCCGGACCCCTGTTGTTGTATTCAATATAGGACAAATGATCCAATCTGGAGCTGTTATCCCACGGTGACCAGCCTGCAGGTTTTATGATATCCCCTAGGAAAGACTCCATCACCACCGTTCTTGCATACTCTCTCCATGGGCGTCCAAGGAATGCTCTGGAAGAATTCGATGGTCCAAAATCTGGTGCCGCTGTAATGGTACAATTCTGAATTACTATTCCAGTGTTTACCGTCACTTTCTCCCGCGAATCAGCTGTTACAACAATTGGCTTTCCTTTATTGCCGGGATTTCTTCCATACATGTTGCAGTTCTGAAATATGATGGCTGCGTCACCAAATATGAAGTCTACGGTTCCATATATGTTGCATTCATAGAAAAAATTTCTGCCATTTTTGATATACAAGGTGTCCTGATATCCTTCGAAGGAACACCTGTAGTATGCATCATTGAGGCCTCCACTGAAAATAGCAACTGCTTGTCTGGCATTGACTCCGGCAGAATTCACAAAGCTGATGTGTTTTGCTACAAAATATACTGCTTTTATATCTGCGTTTAAACAATATACACAGTGTTAGATGACTTTTGATTCTACAGTGCACTGAGTCTAATAAGGAAGTGAAACATTTTATCAATTAATCACATTTCTTTTAGATCAAATGCAATATCACAATATTATGTAAGGTAGCTAAACATCTCTGTTGTCTTTGCTAAATTTTCCCTCCTCAACAAATTTGCACTATGTCACTCAGTATCAGCACCCAGATAAAGCTATTGTCATATTGAAAATCATAGAGAGCCTCCTGCTAGCTCAGATGATTCTCTTACCCTAATTACAACTGAAAATTTAAAGAATTCCATTGTATATAGTTATTAGAATTTCAAAGAGTAATCCAAAATCGCGAGACGTCTCTTCCTCTACTGGACTTTGTATTTTGTTATATTGGACATAGTATTTTTTTTGCAGTGTGTAGCTGTAAGGTTTTGCTTTTGCCCTGGGCAACAAATTATTTTAATGCTTTTTGGATGAATACTAGCTGCAGATACATGGGAGAAAGTATGAAAAAACAGCTCAATCAAGCACCTCACCTTACAGATTCTATTTGTCATACACAAACTATGGTTGGTCTACTTCTTTGTGAATAAATTGTTGCTTTAGTGGTAGCTATTGTGACAGTCTTCTAGCGAAATTAAGACATGGACCACGAATATAATTCTGATTATTCATATATTGTTTTCATCAGGGAATAGTTATCTAAATGGGATAAAATAAGAAGCAATATATATATATGTATGAATAAAGAGTAGTAACTAAAAACATGAACTTAACATTTGAAAAGCAACATTTAAATTGAAATTTGTCTGTAAATTTCTCTTAAGGACAACTTATTTACTTGGAAGACTGATGGTCACTAGTGTGTATCTTTTAATTACCCTCAGAAATATTTTAAGATCTAGAAACCATTAAGTTTTTTGGATAATTCCTAAAAAAAATTAATCCAACCCGCATTTAGTAGTAACAAAACCGATACCATATTCCTCTGTTACTTCCTCACATTCTTTACCTACAATTTGCATTAGAAAATGAAGCACTGATGGCCATTTAACGGAGAGGATAAAAGTTATGTATAACAACCTATGTCTTGAGCAATTTATTACAAGTACTGGTAGCCATTCAATGGAGAGGGTAGAAGCTACATGTATGGTCTTAAAATGACAATGTAAAAAGATGGATGGGAGGATTTGGTAACTTACCGACAGTGGCCGATTTGGATGTCCTGTAACCTGAGGAATTGCTTTTGCTGAATTGTATTATTGTTTGGCCAATTCCATCTCCCAAGAACACGACACTTTTCTTCTCCTTACCCACAAGTACTTCTTCATTGTAAATTCCTCGCTTGATGTAAATGGTGTATGTGATTGAACTAGAATTGGGTATTGCAGAAACAGCTTCTGAGATGGTGCTATAGTTCCCACTCCCATCCTTTGACACCACAATTGTGGTGTTATCACTTGAAGCAAAAATTGGAATGGCAAGAAACCAAAAGAAACAAAGTAAAAGAGTCATTTTGAAGATTGATAAAGCTTGATGAAAGTATGCTCCACCAGCAATAGAGTTTTATTGAGCAAATGGAGGATCAAGGAGAGGAGTGTTCGTATCAAGGAGGAGTGTTTGTCTTTTGCTCTACTGATCTCTACAGCCTACATGTGTGTAACGACCTGAAATTAGGGGCAATCACAAAACATGATTAGGAAAAACTATCCAAATAAAATCAGACCAATACCTCAACCCAAATAACCACAAACCAAATCCCACTGCGCTACTCCCATAATTATCAACTTAAAAACACATCACAATCATCTACAAAACAAAATCTGCGCTGCAATTAGTTAAAAATTCGTAGAAAATTCATTTTAAATCGAAACAGAGCAAACAAAAATGATTTAGAAACTAGACTCAAAGGGTAATGTGAAACTGAAATTCCCAGCAACATAAGCTTTGCCAATAAAATCAGTTTTTAGAAGGTAAATAGCAGTCAAAAAATGAGCTGAAAATAAAGGCCTTGCTTGGATTGCATTTCAGAGAATAGTTCTCAAGAACAGTTCTCAAAAATAGTTTTCAGAGAACAGCTTTCAATTTTTTCAGATTTCAAACCTGCTTGGTTAAGAGAATTTACAAAACAGTTTCCGGAAAATAAAAACTCATAAAACTACTTGGTTGTATGAATTTTTGAAAATAGTTTTGTAATATTTGTTATATTAATCCAGTTAACATGACGCATAAAAATGATTTGAATTCTGCCTAAGGTAAAAACACAGCAGAAACTAGGTGTTATCCCAAATTTTATTCAATCCAAGATTTTGAGTAACAATTTAATTGATAGCTAGTGATTATTTCTATTTGAATCTATGTATGGAATTTGTAGTACTCTCTCAATATGAAACATCTCATTCATAGCATCCAAGGATGAAGCATGATCATGGAGACAAGAGTGGACACGATAAGCCACAAATAAAGTGAGATAATTTTTATTTTTCATTTTTGAAAAATAGGATACACATACAGTTTACAACAAGGAACATGGAAATATATGTGTATAATTGTGTGTGTGTTGAATTAACTCAGATATGTACACTACAAAATATATATATATATAGGTATAAATTAAAAAGAAAAATACTTTGTATGATATGCATATTACTACCATTTTCTTGTTAGAATAAATTAAAAAGAAAAACACTAGTTTTGCAAAGAAGATTAAGCCTTTACATAGTTAAGTCATTGACAAGTGATCACAATAAAAGCAACACCCTAGGTTGTAATTTAGAATTTTTGTTTTGATATACTTTATGAAAAACATGAAGAAACACTTGGCTGTGCATTTTATAATTTTTTAAACATTGATAACTTTCAATATGTTTGCAATTTATTTATTTATTTTCAAATCACATCCTTGAAGCACTACCTCAGCATTCAATTGGTTATGATTAGATAAAAATAATCTGCTAATATACGAAAGTTTTTCTTCTGTGCATAATTGTTTATCTTCAAGCAACTTTTCAGTGAAAAAATGTTCAAGTATGTTTGAGACCTGCCTAAATTTTGTTTCTTCTAGAGAATGCCAGGTCGGAGGAGTAGAAAAGCCATTACTGTCCTTTCTACCCCTGCCTGCTAGGACACATTTATGGGGTTGGACTCTTGGATATTATATTTACTGGATTCTATCTAGGATAATATCATGTGAAACTTTCTAAGCTAACTAAGCCTGATTAATATCTAATGTTACAGTTATATCTAGTACCCTTTATGAAGTGTGTATTATCAATGACTTTAAATCCAAACGCATGGTCAAGGCACAATTTGCCACGAGTACCCTTTGGGATTTTTGTTGTTTTCTTCAACTAATTCATTTTTCATCTGAAGTTTTTCTTTCTTGTTATATTCTTTTTAACATTTTGTACAGATGGTTAACTAATAATTTAACTTGCTCCAACCTCTGGCCTTGGGATTCAGCTCTTCCAACTCAATATGAGTAAAATTGTCCATAACTTTGAGATTTGCACAAGTCACACCTCTGGATTCCCTTCGACTAGTGAGCCCGAGATTTGTGTAATTCAATATTCAAATTCTTCTGTTCAATTTTATGAGAATTTATATGATTTTTTATTTTCTTGTTTTTTGAAAATTTCATCTACTGCAAGACTTGATACAGTGTTGCATGCGGATAGGTCTTGAGCAGTTATTTTTAAATGGAGGATAATTTATTTAGATTTTGTTCTTACTGATCGTTGGTACTTGTTTTTGGTTTTTAGCTCCCCTCAAGCGCATGAGCAGTTGGTGTTTTGATGAGAAACTTTTCTTACAGTCACTTTACAAGGTATTATGACCATGAATGGGTTGGTTGCTTTAAAACGTATAAAACTATTACTTATGCATAGCCATGTTTATATGATTTCTTCACTCGATTAGGTTCATTATGCAGCATTAGCTATCTGGGAATGTACTGACTGGCATGGTTTGTTATTTCGCTTGCAGGTTTTGGTTTCAGTCTCTGAAAGCAGTTCCATCATTCTTTACCTCGTTTCATACAAAATTTGCACAATGCTGTATTTAAAATCTCCATTAATTTAAGCCCATTAACATTCGGTTGGATAGAGAAAGAGAAGTCCACCAACATTCGGATGGATACAGCCTATTAGATACGAGGATAGAGCAGGGAATAGGAGATATTTTGGACTTATTTTGTGATATTTGTTAAATTGGGCTTTGATTGCACTAAAGAAGAAGATGTACCAACACTTTCTACAAAGAAAAAGAAGGTTCAGTATTCTAAAGACCACAAATCTCTAAACCCTAAACTGATCGAAAACCCAAATCACTAAACTAAAAATCAAATTCACAACAAAAATCACCCAACCAACAAAATCCATAATCAAATCTACAACCAAACTCATCCAAAAAACAAAATCCATAAGCAAAAACTTGCTACAGAAAAATACAGATTTGTGTTTACCTGAACAGATGGAGCTTGAAAAAAATCTAAGCAAGAGTCTGGATGCAGAGGAGAGAAGAGCTGGAAAGTTCTGGTTTCAATTGGAATTGGAGTTTGGTTAATAACAATGGGCTGGTCTCATCGGATTTCAAGATTGATGTTTGAGCAGGCCTTTGAATTACTCTGTTGCTGAAGTTTTTCTCAGATATTTTCAATGCTGTGGATGTTTCTGGTTTGAGGGAGATTGTTGCAGAGATGCAAGCTTTAATGGACTTCAAGATCAAAATATTTTAGAGCAGGATTTTTTAGTTCTGGTTTATTTTGTTTTTGTTTCTTCTGGTTCACTCTAGTCTAGCTTGGATTTCCTTTGCTGGTTTGAAAATGACATAGTCCATTACTTGCTTTGTACCGGAGGATGTCCTCCATGTTTTGTAATTGTACTATTCTGATTTATATATAAAACAAAAATCCCATTCAGGAAAAAAAAGAAAAGAAATTCAGCAACAAGAAGAAGCTTATATTTGTGATGGAGGATGACGAATTGAAACAAAATTGAATCAACAAGGAACCAAATGTTCAGCACATGACATTAAGGGAATCAAGGCTTAAAATTATTCAAGAAATAGCAAAACAAATAACCTATTTCTCTAACTGAATCAAGCTAAGTGTCAATTGAGTGGGACCCATATCTAATTACAGTATAAGAACGACGATAAGTGCACAGAGTGCATGTCGAAAATTCACTGTTCGCTATACCCCTTGATTCAGCTGTAACAATAATGGGCAATCCTTCATTCTCTGGATTTCTCCCGTATATGTTGCAATTCTGGAACATGATGCCTGCGTCACCAAATATGAAGTCTAGGGTTCCAAAGATGTTGCATTTGTAGAAAAATTTCCTGCCGGAAATCATAAACAAAGTGTCCTGGTATCCTTTGAAACTACACCTATAGAATGCATGATTTAAGCCTACACTTCTCACAGCAACTGCCTGTCCGGCATTGACTCCGGCGGAATTCACAAAGCTGATGTCTTTTGCAACAAAATGTTGTGCTTCTATATCTGCATGTACACATTAATAGACACACGTCTTGCTTCTGTATCTGCATGTACACAATATACACACGTCATGAGGTGCTTCATAAGCCTTAGGTTTGGAGTTCGAGTCCCCGATAGGTGTTCTTGGTGACTAGTCTCAGCTTGTTGAGGGTCCTAAGGATTCGTGCATTCCCGGATACCCGAATTACCCAAAAAAAAAATACAAAAAAAAAAAAAAAAAATAGTGCAGTATATGATCTTATCAATTTAATATCTGATTCGTGGATCAATGGCGCACACATTTATAAAGAAAGAGAGATGGGATAGTGATCAAATACTGACGGTGGCCGATTCGTCTGTCCCAATACCAGTGGGATAGTGATCAAATACTGTTCTTATACATTCTCACATCTACTGCTTCGTTGTAAATTCCCCGCTTGATGTGAATGATGTATGTGGCCGAAGCTGAATTAGGTATTGCAGAAACGGCTTTTGAGATGCTGCGATAGTCTCCACTCCCATCCTTTTTGACATCAAATTAAACCCTGAAATGGAAATGGGAATGGCAAGAAACAAAATGAAACAAAGTAAACTACCAGCCATGTTGGTGGTGGAAAGCGGTGGCGACAGTGACGGAGGTGGTGGAAGGCAACAGCAGAGTTGGGAGTGATGGAAAGGAGCGATGGTATAGAAGGTGGTGGAAGTGAAGTGATGGTTTACTGCTTTAAAACAAATAAGAAAAAAATTTCTGCTTTAAAATAAATATGTAATTTCCATATTACTACTCTGATTTTCTTCCTTATTTGTTTTCTCTTTCTTTTTTTTTTTTTCTTTTTTTTTTCTACCTCGAAACAAGGGTCCAGCTAACCCCAAAAATTAAATGTGGTACAAAGAGAGTATAATACTAAAGATGTTAAAAAGTTATAAAGTTAAGGATGGAACACTTAATGTGTGGTACAAAGAGAGTTTAAAAGTAAATTAGCAGTAAAAATTATAACTAAATTAGCTGTAAATATTTGTTATTTCTTAATGAGATTAAGGTACCAAGTGTTACATCCTTATTAGTCCATCATTTTTGTTTGTATTTTAAAATGTGTGGTACAAAGAGAGTTTAAAAGTAAATTAGCAGTAAAAATTATAACTAAATAAGCTGTCAATATTTGTTATTTCTTAATGAGATTAAGGTACCAAGTGTTACATCCTTATTAGCCCATCATTTTTGTTTGTATTTTCCAAATTAATATAATTGAAAAGTCAAAACAAAATAAATGTTATAGTTTTGTAATTAGTCTTAACTTTTCAAAAAGAATTAGCATCATGAATGCAATTTAATATTCGTATTTTGAATTATTGTTTAAGTGACGTGGCTACGCCCTAATTAAAAGGACACATATGCATTGAAAAACGAAAAACAAAAATTCCAAAAACTCAAATACGGACCACAAAGTCTAGAAGCAGTTATTCATTCCATTTTGGGTAAATTTGTGGGTTTAATTCTAAAAATTTTGGATTTTTCTTTTCTTATTTTATTTATTTTTTTTTTGTCAGACCCACTTGGGCTCCTCTGTTTTGTCAGGGTACTTTTGTCTTTTCATTTTTTCGATCAAGTCTCTTGCTGGGTTGTCTTTAATTACACTAAATTCATAGTTTTTTTTTTTTTTTGTTTAGTTAAAGAAATGTGTTGCAAATAGTCAATAATTCAGAGGGTTTTTTTTGACACTTTACCCAAAATTGGGTAATGCACGGGTCACAGTTAAATAGTTTTGACTCATGTGGCCCACTATTTGCTAGTCATAGGATTGAGAATAGGGTGATACAGCTAGCAGAGTGAGCACAAACGAAGATAGAGAGTCAGGACTTATAGCAGGGAAGAAGAATGAATAGACTAACAACTTATTGGGTCGCACTAAACTGAAAGAGACTTTTAACCCCCCATATTTCACTCTAATATATGTTTCGCTACATGCCAAGCCACTGTGTAAATCTATATTTGGACATGGACCGCATGGTGTTCAATTTTTATGCAAACAAATTGATGTATGTCCATTATGTTTTGGAGGCCACCAATATAAACTTGATTTTTATTTTTTTTTTCCGATAAATAACTATGATGGTTGTTAATAAATTAAATTAATTTTATCGATACTTTTTAAGTTTGGTCAATTATCACATTAATAAACTTTTTGAAAATTATTATCACTCACATTACAAATTTTTGGTGTATTTTTTACTCACATTCTAAAAATTAATTTTCAGTTGTGTAAAACCAATTTTTACTTATAAAAAGACATTATTATCCCATTTAACTTTGGCTTGTCTTACTAAAAGGTTGTTTGATGTTTAAGAAGACATTTCTATGTACCCCTCTCTTTCACCTTTTCCTACTACCTCTGTTTTTACATCAAATAATGGACAAAATCAATTGACTAACAAAATGCATACCAAACATGTCGTAAGTAAGTATTTCCATAAACAAAGTGATTTGGGACTTGAGTGGGTATAACATTAGTCCCACTCGAAACTTTTACACGGATATACGGTTTTTTTTTCTGTAAAATTAAATGATTTATAGTATTATAGAAAATAATCCAATTTTAACACGCTTCCTTTAAAGTAAAAAATTAGAATAATTGACTCTCTTTTTTAAGAAACAAAATAATAAAAATTTAAGATATTGAGTTCTTTCTAAATTATAATATGAATTAATATTATTAAATCTCACAATTTTAAATAAGCCAAAGTCCCAAAAAAAAAAAAAAAAAAAAAAAAAAAAAAAAAAAAAACAAAGGGTCCCAAAAAAATCCTACTTTGTTGCATATACCAGGAACAGAATTAGAACTTTATGTGAGAGGGAGAGGGAGCAACCTTTAACGAAAAATGTTGAGGGGAAATTCAAAATTTTGTAAGTATATAATTTTAAAATGGATGCAAATTATATACTTTAACATTTTCTTTTTGTAATGTTTATATATTAGTAGGTTTATTAAAATTTGGAACAGAAGAGGATTCCCAAAAACTTGTGAAACCTACGTTGTTTGGCGTAGTCATAGAGGGACAAGTGGGGTCAACTGCCCCAACTTAACTTTTAATGTTTTTAAATTTTATATGGAAATATTTTTATATTTGTATAATTGCTCCCTCTAAAATTTGATATATATAATTTGATTATTATTTGATATTATAATTTTAATTAAAAAAATTATTAATTATTACTATCAAAATTATTTTAGGGGTTGTTATTCTTTCAAAATTTAGTTTGTGTAATTATGTTACTAATTATTATTCTTTAAATATGACTTAGAATTTGTTTTTATTTGCAACCCAAATCAATGAAATAACATATTCACTCCTATTATGAATTTTTATTTTTATTTTTTTTACATGTGTGATATATTAAAAACCTGAAGTAACTGTGTTATTATTTTTTTTTTTTCATATTTTATTCTTGATTCATTGAATAAGATTTTTTTTAAGTATATTTAATTGAATGAACTCAATTTTGAAAAAAAATCGTTTGAAATGTACTAAATAGAAATATAATGAATCAATATTATAATTTTTATATATATTGTTTTGATTCAAATTATATATATATATATATATATTATTGCCATTGAAGATTGCCCCATAGAAGGAAATTCTTCCTTGCTACGCCACTGGTACAGGCCTGTTGAAATGAGATGGGTTTATCGAAACCAGTTCGGTAGAACATTTACTCCATATCATCCTTGGAACACTGGTGAATCCAAACATACACATAAACAACTTATACACGTGGCCTTAGTAGAAAGAACACATGTAAAAGAATTCAGATTTAATGCGAAGTTATAAGCCGAATCTCCGGTATTAATTCTAAAACTCTTTCAATTACCAATAAACATGATTAATCAACTTATTAATTTAATCACATTTATTATTATTTATTATTTTTTCTTTCTAATTTAACCACCAAAGAGAGTATCATTCACAGTCACATAAGTGACACGGTTCCACCTTTAATTGGTTGAAAATTTAATTATAAAAGTTGTAATTAATTCTATTGTACTTATACATTTTATTTATGCTCATCGAGAATGGTTTCTCACTGTTTTTCTCAATTTTCTTTTTCTCAATTCTTTACTTTTCTTTGTTCACACACACACACACACATATATATATATAATACTTAACCATATAGTGAATAGATTAGAAAATTTTACATATTAACTAAAACTCAAATTTTATAATATTACTTTAATTAAAACTCAATCTCATAATAATATTTCAATTAAATTACATAAAACCCAATAAAAAAATGAACATATATATATACAAGACAATTGAACCCAAAAAAAAAATTAGAGTAAAGAATGAAGTGTAGCTATATATATCCAGGAAAGAAAATAATAATAATAATAAAGTTGAATATAGGTACAAAAGAAAGAAGGTTATTAGGTATACAAATGGTACCGATTGCTAAACCAAGTTCAACACGAAGATGATGATAACATGGCGAAATGAAAGATCCTTAGATATTCAGTACGATCATATAATATAAATCCACCAAGAAAAAGCGTCATGTAGTATGATTACAATGCTTAATTATTTTACTTCGTATACGACAGAAAATAATACAACAATTACTAAAAAACACCATAAAAAACCATAACAAACCATGTCAGTCCTACTTAATTAACAAGTGAAAACTTGTGACAATCTTGTGCCTGTTCAATGTACTTGCCTTTTTAACAATTTAGGGTGGGAGAAAATAAGGATAAACAAACCAAATGCAAGCAGCAGCAGCAGCAATCTTGAACTAAATATAGAAAGATAATACTGCAAACCCATCATTTTTCAATCAACATTTCTACTTACATATTCAAGCTGTTAGGAATCAAACTACCACAATCATATGTATCAGACAACATGTCCGTTCTTTGTCAGTCAGTCCAACAGCCGAGCATAAACCAGAATTAACAAAAACTTGCACCAATATCCAAAACACCTACAACTCTCCATATCCCTACTTCGTTTCTTACACACACCTGAACAATAACCACCGCAAACAAAACCAGCATGCTCACACTGCCAGAAAAAAATATAGTAATATTTACCATGTTACCAGATTATGCAGTCAATGCAGCAGGTGTATTCGATCTCTTTCCTTCCATAGCATCTTTCTTTTTACGGCAGGTTGTGCACAGGAAGGGGCCTTCCCATGGATTTGATGCAGGTGAGAAAAAGGGCCCAGAGTTAACAGATAAACCATCACTTGGTGGTTGATCCACTTGGCAAACTGCGCATCTGAAAATCCCAGTGTTTGAGTTCAAAGGAATATCCTTACCCAGCCTGCAGTTTTACAAAGTATGAAGTGAAGCTTGGGGCAACAGCAAAAGAAGAGAGAGACAGAGAATTCAAAAGTTCATTTTCTCATTGGGCTACAGAGTTGCATCATCTAGGTCAACTTATCACAAAGTCGATTTTAATTGGCATAACAAATAATTACAAATCCAAGGCAATATGAGAACAGGACAATTGGAAGCAAATGTGTACTTAAAGGGCCAATCAAATCCTGACATAATAATAATAATAACAGCTGAAAGAATTTCTCAATTTTCTATAGCAATTGTGCGCGAGTTTCATCTCTAATAAAGAACTACTAACTGATAATGGAGGGAACGTCCCCATTATTTTCACAAGGAATAGTCAAAACATTTTTGAAATAAAATTCCCCAACCCAGAGGATTGGAATACAACTGCATTCAATACAAGTATTTGTCATTTGATAAAAATGTATTCAATATAAGAATTTGACATTTGATTTCTGTGACTAAATAAATAAAAACATTTTGAATTTTCATTGTCTTTAGGTTTCGACCCACTGCTCTCAGAATACAGATGACATTGATACAACATCTTCAAACACAATTCTACGTGCTGCATCTTTCATCAGTGTGATGAACATAAAAACTTTCAAAGCTTCCCCAAATCCAAAAAATATTAAACCTTGTTAATTACCCCCACATAGTTAGGATGAGGGACTACTTTTTGTATCATTCAACTATCTCCTTGTCAACAAAGGCTACATAACAGCATCAGTCCATCGTAAACTGTCTATTTTAAGAACCGATTCCTGGTATCCCCATTGACATCAAAGGTCATTATCTTTAATGAATCCAAGATGAATTAATAAGGCTGAGTATAAATGATTCTGCTCCATTGACAAATATAATCTACGTTGTACTGACAAGAGGATAGAATTTTTGTCATCTTTACCGGTAGGCCTGGATCGGTTGAATTTAGTAGATAAAATTTCAAGACTAAGCTCCTACTCTTGAGGTTTCACCAGTTTTTGAGTATCGTTGAGATATCATGATGGAAGATGTTATAAGAGTTTCATGCCAGTGGAGTAATCAAGACAAAGTTACTACAATCACTTTGATCTTGTACAAAAGTTTACATAAAAAGAATTTACACCAACTAATTTGTTTTAGAAGGCTCTATAAAAGCATAGTTAAGGTTTTCTCAGAATAAATGAAAAGTTTTCTAGGTAAATAAGGAATAAAAGAACTGGCATACACTATTTCACCGGTTTTTCACACATCTTGAATGCAATATTAAAAGTTGAGAGAAAACCTAAAACTTTGGTGAATTGAAATTTTGAAATCATTTGACAATTGATGATCTGACAAGGCAGATCGTTGTAAACTGCTGTTGTGTGTGCAAGAAGGATGAGGAGTAGGTGAACCACCTCCTTTTGCACTATCCAGTGACCAAGGATGCCTGGAATGTGTTATTGGCGATTTTTGGAGTTCATTGGGTGCTTTCGGGTGGATATGAACAAAGCTTGGAGAGGTTGTATGGTGGGGAGCCGAGTTGGACATTCTTGGAGGGCCACACCCCTTTGTTTATGGTGAGGTATGTGGCATGAAAGAAATACAAGATCTTTTGATGTGGAGGAAACTCCTACTTTGTCCCTCAAATACACCATATTGTGTTCCTTTTTCTTTTGGATTAATGGACGAATTTGTAAATCTTCGGAGGAATTTGTTGATTTTGTAAATAGCTTGAGAGGATAATTGGCCCTCTTGGCCTTATCTATTCCTCCTTGGGAGCACTCCCCTCTTGAGTTCCTTTAATGAAACATTACTTCTTATATATATATATATATATATATATCACAAAACTAGTGCTATGACATCGTCCTTTCAAGAGTTTTATATACTAAGGTTTCCCAAACACACACATACCGAAAAAATTAAAGAAAGAAAAAATTTATCTAATTTACGCTTAAAATGACATAGATAATATGATTACTACCAGTTACTGTGGTAATATCACGAAACTAGGTAATATCACGAAACTAGGTTATCCCTTCAAAATTTCAGTCTTTTAATGATTTCCAGTGACACGAGAGAGAAAAAATGTAATCCAAGTTAACCTCGAAATGACAATATAATATCGTCACTCCCTATATTCAATCTGGATCCCCCTTGCAGTTAGATTATCATATGGTCCTAGTGCACTAAATCATGTAGAAAGTTAAATCATGTATATTAACTTTGACTAAACAGGATTGATGTAACTGATTCGATATAGTTGGGAAAATATTTCATTGAGTTGAGTCTATCAACCGGTAAAATCACTTTTAGCTGACAATAACATGTGATGACTAATTCTAGCTATGTGAAAACACTAAATTAAAAGATGGGAGAAAATGAGAACATTCAAAGCTACTAATTCTGATTGAATTACTATCACAATTTCATAAGTACCTTAAAGCTTTAAAGACATGGAAACTACAATTATTATTTACACAAACAATTTTTTCATCAACGGAACTTAGTTGCCAAAAAATATCCAAAACTGGCACAAATAAGTGAACAGCAAAAAATGCACACAATGGTACCTAAGATGACCAGTAACCAAAACTTACCCAAGAAAAAAAAAAAGACTAGTAATCAAACAATTGAGGCAAAAAAAATTCAGTGAACTATATGAATTATTCGCACTTGTAATGTTTGATAGTGTCTGCTGTACTATACTAAGGTAAGTTGTGAATGCACACCTTTCTGCAAGCATTGCTGAACCCTCTTCGAACAATTCCTCCACAACCCCAACAGCAGAAAGCTTTGTTGCTTTGTTCATAGCATTATGAGATCTCTTCCCAAACATAATTGAACTGAACAGAGGTGGTTTCTTCCTAGGTGTTGGTGGCAAAACTGGGTGATCAAATGGAATAATATCAACAACTAGGCAGGTTGTATCATCCTTCAGGCCTCTTGACCTGAGAGCTTCCTAAACAGCCGAACAAACGAGAATTAAAAACTACAAAAGTCAGATCCTCAAGCTGGTTAAGAAGAGAGCTTGTGTTTGATATCACCTTAACAACCAGCTTTGCAGCTAGTTCGGCTGGCAAACCCCGGCAAGATTGTGCAGCCGTATCAGAAGATAGAGCATCCCATATACCATCAGAAGCAATTATAAGTCTTCCCCCACCATTTGATAGCTAAACCAACAAAAATTGTTTTGAGAATTATTACCATAAAGCAAAGAAAAGCCAACATCAATATGAAAAACTCTACCTACCTTCACTTGCTTAACATGTGGTATTGGGACTATGAATTCCCCCACATCTGTGTCACCGATTGACCTAGAAAGGCACAACCCACCAGGCCAGCAGCGGAGAGGACCAACCTATGAACCAAACAAGTTTGGCCAAAAAGAAGGAAAGCTTTAAACTCTACAATTACCAGAAATTAACAAATTCAGTTTATTTAACAGCCCTGTGGTCCTTGTTCAGGACCATCAGAGAGTATAAGAAGATTGTTCTCGGGCAGTCTAAAATGCAAATTCAAATTTATTTCACCTCATTGCCCCCAAAGACATTGAGCCTTCCTACTTCACCCCCACTTGCAGTGACACGCTCCCTCTCTTCTGCATTCTCTTCTAGCCTGTGATCAACTGTTAACAGAGAAACCACACCCCCCTGCGTATCTAATATGCATCGAGAATCCCCAACAGATGCAACTGTCACAGTCCACCCATCGATCACAACAAATGTAACTGTCGTCCCAGATGTCTCTCCTGTCATTAATATCAAAGTGCAAAGATTAGCTTAGTAGAAAAAAAATGCAAAAAGAGCAAGCATGATAAGCTAGAGAGAAAGGGCTAGAGAGACTGAAAGAGAGAGGTGGGTGCATGCCTTTCTGCTGAAATTCTATGTCAGTTTTCACAAAACCCGCAACTAATGCCCGGGGAAGGGCTTGAAGCCACTCCTCCCTACCAATTCCTTGGGGAATTGCACTTATAACATTGTTCAATAAGTTCTCCTTCGTAAATATAGCCGCCGATATACCATTATGCCCATCAAAAATCTACCATCAAAAAACCCAAATTCCAAAATCTTATACCTAGTATGACCAATGTTCATACTATAAGTAGAATAAACTCTCAAATGAACTCGCAATAATCAATTGGAGAATGAAATTACCGCAAAAACTGAAAAAGCTGTTGACGGATTGCCTGGAATCCTTTGGCAATCCGGTTTGATCAGAAATAAATCTTCCCCTTTCTTTGCCAGAGCAGCCTGTCCGTACTTAAGTGTAGGCTTCTCAACCTTCTCATTCCTGAGCTCGCGACCGATCAGAGTCGCAAGCGGAACAGGAGGTGGCTTCGGCTTCATCCTAGCAACTTCGGCCTGGCTCATTTTAATCTGCGCTTCGACATTTCCGAGACCTTCGTTTTAAATCCACAAAAGCAAATCAAATAAACATTCTTCACACAATTCCACCAACCGATCTAAAACATATTCTATATAATCCACAGTTGAGTACAATGTATCGCAACATTGTATGTCGACATAACCAAAGGAATCAAAAAATATCATAAATTGCACAAAAATCATACATAAACACAAATTCACACACATTTCCACATATGTATCGTATTCTAGAAATAGGAGATCGATAGATTCAGAAACCCTAAACTTACAGTGTACACATTGAGAAACAGCACTAGATCGAGCAATGAGGGTCAAGCATCGAACACAGCTCAAAAATCAGCAATGGATTTCTCACTTCTCCACCAAACTGAACTTCGATCGGATTTCTCAAAACCCTAGAGAGAGAGAAAGAGGAAAGAAACTCGCCGCTATTTCAATGATTTGATTAGGAAAAATAGAGAGAGGGAGAAGAGAGAGAGAAACGCGGGGAGGAGAAGGCGGTTTTTCGGGCATAAGTCTCAGATAATGACATTTTATGTCCTATATACACTACTTCGTTGTGATCGCCGAAAGGAAACGTATCGAAATGACCAAAATATCCTCAATCGTGGTTTATCTTGGCATGGATGTCCCTTTTTTCCCATACCAATTGATGTTTTGTCCGAATTCAATAATTACTGTCCTAACCAAGGAGTTTTGTCACCATTTAAAAATAATAGATTCTCTAGGATGTATTCAATGATTTTTAATACACAATTTTTTTTGAAAAATCCGAAAAGAATAGATTCTACAAAATGTTAAATTCAGTGTTTGTCATTATTAAAAATTATGTTTAATAACATAATTTGAATGTCACTAAGTGTGATTTTAAATAGACAAAAATTATAAGTGACAATAATTTTACTAAAGATATAAAAAACCATTTTTCATTGTCATGAAAACACCAACACTTAAATCCAACTCTTAAAATCCTCCATGCTTAATTTTGTTTACTAATTATCATGAATTATAATAAGGAGGTGATATTAACACACTCTCATTTTTAATTAATGTAAAATAACATTATTATTTATAATTCAATTAATGAGAAATAGAATCAAGTCTCAAGGATGCTTTTGTCTTTTACTTTAAAAGAAGACAAAAATAAAATTTTATTTTTCACCTTATATTACTCGGACTTTACTTCATCACGGTGGGTGTGAATTCCACAAATATTAATCTCACAATAGTAACTTAGTTTGTAGGATGGTAATAATGAAAATTTTCTTTTTTTCTCGTTTAGATTTTTATTTTATTTTATTTATTTCTTTTTGTGGATTTTGTTGGAAGAAGATATATCTTAGTGGCACATTAGACATGATATGACATTTTTGGATAATGGTAAGTATGATGAATGTCTATGAATATTCACACCGCATCATTTGTCCCTTTCAATGATGTCACGAAAGTGCTATGTGTTGGTTGGCAAGAATTTGGTGGATTAAGATGACCAAAATTCTCATCCTTATAGACAAAGAAAAACCAATTATTGTTATTTTACTATTTTTTTTTTTTTTTTATGAAAATGAATTCACATGGCAATAAATGAAGAATAAACCTTGCTAAAATAGGATTTATGTATATGGAAAATGATATATTTCATGAATTAATCTTCTTATTTTGTGATTGTGTCTTGAATTAGGTGAATGTTTATTTGGTTGTTTTGTGAGTTTTAAAAAGTAATTTTTTAATATGGAAAAAGATCTTAATATTGGAAAGAGAGAAAAATAACAAAATTGGTGATTACGGAATTCAAACCCTCGTTTAACTTAATAACTCCAATTTATTTGGAGACTCTTTCGATTAAATATTTAAATTATTAAAATTAGAACTAAATGAGTGACTTATTTCTCATGAATAAGAACCCCATCCTATTAAATCATCATATAATTAAAAGCAGAAGTTGCAATTTTTTTCAATGAAAAGAATTCTAATTTACATAATTCACTTAAAGTTTTTTTAGATTTGTATTTTGTTTTGGTATTTTTTTATTAAGGTTATATTTGAAAGAGATAACCAATTGAAATATATATAAAGCGCAGAGGAAGATATATATATATATATATATATATATATACTTGTATATTTAATTAAAAAAAACATATTAGTAGAGAAAAGCAAATTAGAGATAGAGATTATTCATTCTTTCCTCTTTGTTTTTTAATCGATAATTTGTTTAATTTGTTAAAATAGAAAATACAAATGAATAAAAGAATTAAGTGAAATATGTATTAAAATATGGAATATTAATATTTTTTTAGTTATCACCACATCATATTCAAGATCAAATCTCTAATTTTAATTCAAAATCTGTACCAGTGCTATGTATATATATATATGTTGTCCAAACTTTTTTTTTGTCGACCCTTTGATTCTACGACTTGTTTAATTTATGTCGGTAAAGTTGATTATGATACTTAATTGCTAAGATTTGCAAATATCTTCCACTATCAATGGAATGTGTAATAATTAACAGCTCAAGTCATCCATTATAGCAATAGTAATTCATTCATGGATTACTATTATATGTCAACTGTTTATTATTCTATATATGTCCTTTTAAGTTACTAGTTTTTGGTTAATACTATCATACAAAAGTGGTAATTTTCGTATTACTTCAAGAATAACTTGGGAGATACAAAAGTACTTTTATCACCATTATGTCGTAGAATGAAATTTTATTTTATTTTATTTTTCTTTCTTTCTTGAAGGTATTATGCGCGTGTGCGTGTGTGTATATATATGTGTATGTATATTAATTATCTACTCCAACAAGTAATATAGTTAATTAGCTGTCATTATGATTGGTTAGGTATGTACAATATTCATAAGGTCTGCCCCTTGACTTTTTGATGGTGTTGGTATGAATGCAAGCTATGTTCCATTGCATGCCAATGCCAAGGGTAACGAACAAACAAAAAAAAAAAAGAGGAGGAAAAAAAAAAAAAGAGGAACGGAAATTGAGATAAATTTGAAAGGAAAAAAATTAAAGTATAATTTGGAAAGGAAATTTTGACTTTTGTTTAAAAGGAAATTTTAACTTTGTTTTAAAATAAAATTTAAAGAATAAAAGAAAGAAAAAATTAAGATAATTTTAGAAATTAAAGTTTAAGAGAACTATATATAATTTTTCATACATACTTAAAAAAATATACAAAATAACTATAGACGAAGTATATTATATTGTACACGCCAAACCAGAGGGGCAGGTGATCCCTAGGCCTTAAATACTGACCCCTCCCTTTATAATATATGTAGTAAATTTTTTTTTTCTATATATATGAAAATAATTATATAGTGTCTCTCTTTAATTTTGTGATTTCTAAAATTATGTCTTTATTTTTTTATTTTTCACTTCAAATTCCTTAAATTTTCTTAAACAAAAAGTTAAATTTTTCTTTCTCAATTAAAACTCTTAACTTTTTTCTTTTAAAGTTCTTTCATGTTTTTTTTTTTTTTTTTTTTTTTTCTCTTTTTGTTTTTACTTCTTAAATTTTTTCTTTTTTTTCTATTGTATTTTATGTTTATATATATATATATATATATATATTTGTTGCACATGCCCTCCCGACTCCACCTGATCATAATAATGCTTAATGATAGAAGCAAGATAAAGCTCAAAGCGAGCGTGGTGATTCAGACTTACTTTGTCATGACATGAAATAAAAAGCAAGTTTACAATGCGGACACCATGAATTCACGCCCTCATGCATTTTTATCTGTTGAATTAAATTAGCAAAGTTAGTTGTGTTTGTGTGTGATTATTAACATCCGTTGTAACTCAGTGACATCTCTTTTATTGTTAAAATATAAAGTGAGAGTTCAAATTATTACAAAGATAAATACGTATAGGAATAGTTGCTTGTCTAAAGAAAATTCAGAGACTAATATTAATTGAATTATAACAACAATAAGAATGATAAATTACATTGACCTATCTTGAAATTTGAAAAAATTATACATAAGTAAAACGTTAAATTTTTATTTTGAACTCACCTGAGATTTGACGTGTGTAGTCAACAACACCCCCTTATTGTTAAAAAAAAAAAATTAAATGACTAAGCTACCCTTTCTTTGTGTTAAAATATCTCCACATGAAATGACAAAAAATACCATGAACTGCCATTGAAATTCAAAATATCAAATTTCATACCAATTTCATATTATTAAATTTTTTAAGAAAATAAAAAAAAAAAATTAATAACATTTGATTAGGTTTCTTTTTTTATTTCAAGGGAAAAAAAAATTAGGTAGACTAATATATATACAGTGTTTACCATAAAGGGAAAAATGGGTAATAGAGTCTTTTGGTTTGACAATTTTTTTTATTAGACTATTATTAAATTAGATAAGGGTATGAAATATATTTTACATTTTTAAGGAAGGTCAAAATAATATAGGCCAAATGCTACATTCATGTGGTAATTTATCCAAACATCGAGGAAGATTAGTTTAATTTACCCAGACACAATTTGGAGGTGTGCTTGCAAATGATTATGTCTTGCTCCAACACCCATGATTCCTTTTGGGTTCTTAGAATTTGAAGAATATAAAGAAAATAAAATTATATAAAATCTGTTCCTATGACAAATTTCTGATAATTGTTTTATGATAATTCAATTTTAAAAAAAAAAAAAAAAATTATCTTTAGATACGGTTTCTTACTAAAATAGTTTACTATTTTCTAAATTCTTTAAAATTATTTTTTGTTTTTCGAACGACAAACCATACAAGTTGCAGGTTTCACTATTTCATTGCTTTAAGTGGTTAAATTTATTATTATATTGTAAAATTAAATCTTACTATTAGGTAAAATGACATGAAATCAAGAGGTGTCTAGCTCAATCATGATTTGACAAGAAGCAATATATATTTCTGCATTCCCATCATTACATTAACAACACAATTATAGGTAAATCCAACATAAAGGGAAGTGCAATTTTCATTGTTAATTTGTTCTATTTACAACGTTCCCATTCACAATTTCACAGTATGAATCCATCTCATGTATAAATATAGAACTCGGGTATATAAAACGGAAAGTCTCTGGTCAGTCTTTTAAGTTGTGGGAAAATCTTTTTCCTCTATTTAACACACCAAAAACTTTACAAATATATATGCATGCAAGTAATTAATTAAGTGGATTTATTTATGTTTTATGACAGACTTGGTTCATATTTTAAGAGTTTAAGGTAATGTTTATTAACTATATTCAACACTTAATTTTAATTAATAATGCAATATATATGCTATTTTAAAAAATAAGTATCACTTAAAATGGGCTAAAAATGGAAGCAAGATGGTTTTTTTTATTATGATTATGTTGCAAGTAATGAGGATGACATCAAAAATACAAATCTGAGTGACCATCCAAAGAGAAGAGGAGATAGACTAATCAATGAAAGCTACGATGAAAGTAGGAATATAAGTTCTCTCTTCTAATGTTTTAAGGTTGTTCATTTTTGAGCTTCATGCAT